ATAGATAGATAGATAGATAGATAGATAGATAGATAGCTAGCTAGATAGATAGATAGATAGATAGATAGATAGATCTATCAAACGCTGTTGCTTCGATGATAATTAGTGGTTCTGAAAACAGACTTTCTGGGCCTGCATGGTTCTACCTGCAGATGGAGGAGTGAGGTAGACCTTTGATGCATGATGAGGAGAACAGCCTGGTTTGGGAGAAATGTCACAGAAGCTTTACAGCAGATCCTGCATCCCTCTGATATGTAGGACTGTCTGACTCTGTAAAATGTCAGGTTGGGATATTGTTGCAATAAACCTGATGTTTCTGATCCTTCTGCCTTCACTGGTTTCCCTCGTCCCAGTCAGACCTGTGGTAGGAGGAGATGTGACCTTCATTGTTTGCAAATTCTGTCACTTTAAAATTGATTTCAATTAAAATAAAAACATTTTTAAACCCAGTGAGACACTAAACCACCTCTTAATAAGGCCTAAAATCCAGCTGTGTGTTTCTGCTTGCCAGCATGACGCAGACTGATGTATGGAAAGAGACTGAAATGGTCTTTTTCTCTTCAGACAGCATTGAGGACTACATCCAGACCACATCCTCCAACGTGGAGTCGGCCAACCAGGAGCTCGCCAAAGCCAATCAGTATCAGGTAACCAAGCAGCTGTGCTCCTTCTCTCTCTTTGCATCGTCTGCACAACACTGGGCGTCTGTGAAAGCGCGGCCTGGTCAGCCATGTGAGCACAGACTGGGCTCACCTGATTACACAGCTTTATCAACGCCCCCCCACCCCACCACAGATGATGTCATCTCCTGTCATCTTCTGCTAACTTCACATTCAGGGGAGTTAATTCAATGCAGGAGTCTTAGAGGAAAACAGAAGAACATAAATCATTGGTTTTACATGAGGGCCTTTAACTGGAGCAATGATGATGTATTTGGAGTGTCGGTCCAGACGTGCTCCGAATGACAATAAGTGTGTTATTAGGCACTGGATGCTGTTAGAAGTGAAATGCTTTTTGTTTTGTGGTTCAGGGTGGTTAAAATTTCCACTTTCCAGCTCATTCTGGAGAGACGTTTTAAAAAGACGCCTCAGGGTCTGCGTCTCGTTCTGTGTGAGGAAAAATGTTTTCTTTTCTGCCGCTCTTTCATGGACGACGGCAGGCGGCCTGCGCTCTGTGCGCTCATGCTAGGTAAGCCTCTAGCTATGGTAAATGGTGTATTGACTGCAGAGTCAGGGGGTTAAAATAGTTCACACCTCTTTAAATGAAGCATGCATCTGCAGAACTGAATCACATCTACCTGTTCATTCTGATTAAAATGAAACATTCAGATTTTCTTTTTTTTCAGCTAATGCTACACTGCAAAAAATGTAAATGTAAGTGAGTCCTTTTTTCTTGAAATAAGTTACATTTTTCTACAATTGAGGAGGAAAGTGAGACACGTTGGAACAATAAAAATTTACATTCAAATTAAGAAAAAAACAATTGCATAGAGTTATTTCATGTGCATAAAATCTAATTATCTTATTCTAAGAGTAAAATACTAATTCCATTGGCAAATCATGTTATTTATATACTCATATTAAGGCAAAATAAACTTCCTTTAAGAAATTTGTACTTATTTCTAGATTATTTTTTTAGTGTAATAAATACAACCTCATCCTCCTTTGATTTTAAAACCTTTAAAACAGACTAAGCCCATTTTTGATTTTCTAGCTAATTCCATTGTTGGAACATTTCTATAAAATCCAGTTTTAAAACCTTTGGTTGTTGCATTTTAATTGTAATTAGATGAAGTAATGAGTGTATTATCCTGTTTGGCTCCTTAAAGGAACTCCTTTGTTGTGTTCAAACGTCTCCATCCTGCAGGTTTAGCTTCATGTGAAGCAAACCTTCACCTCAGCATCAGCTTTTCATTATAAGGTCGTATTTACGGAGCTAAACTCCTTCCTATGTGAGCTTCTGGAGCTCAGAGGAAACCTCCCATTAAATGATAAGGTTGTATGAAATTAATAACACCACTCACTGCAGCTGTTATTATTCTGTTTTTACTTCATGTTACCGTTTTAACAGATAGTTTCTTTGAACAGTCCTGTATTAATAAGCTTTGCTGTTCTCAAAGATCAAATTAAAAGGATCATTTCTGACTCGCTCGCCGCTGCATCGGACCTCCTAACAGTGTTTTTTCTGACAGCCATCTTAGATTTAGTCTTAGTCTTCAGGACGAAAACCATTATTAGTTTTAGTAGCATTTTAGTCATTTTTAATAAGTTTTATGTTGCAAAAAAGTGAACCTTTACAATTTAGAATAACAACCAGATTCCTTCCCAGCCTGCAGCTCTATCCTAGATGCTACAATAGCTGGGTATAGAATGCTGCCGTGCAGATCATCATTGCTGTTTGGCTGAAATCTATATTTCATAGAATTCAAATAAATGTTATTATGAATTAATGCCCTACTTTATAAAAAAGTGTCTCACAACAGCTGTGAAAATAGCAGATCTAGTTCAACACATCATATTGGATAATATAGCAGACAGACAAGCTAACAAAATGTCCAATAAAGGAATGATTTTAGACATCCAAGGTTTCCATCCCAAAGCAAACACTTCCTGATCTGCTATGAAGTATGAATTAAACACAGAACAATAGCATCTGCATTACTCCAAAAAAGCTGAGAACAAAAACATTCTTCTTTCTACTTTGGCAATTTCTGCTTTATTTCTAAAGATTAGTAACTGCTGCTCAGGGGTCAAAGTAGATTTAAATTCACAGGGTTTGATATAAAAAATACAGAGAGAACCTCCATAATTACCTCGTGATGCCATGGCAACCCAGACCTAAACTGAATGAATATGCTACTAAAATGTTAAAATATTTAAAGGAAACAGAGAAAATGTTTCAATGACAATACAAGAAAACTTTTCCATCTTATTTAAATAGAAATGAGAACAATGAGAGAGAAATATTCAAAGATCTATAAACCTTTTCGTCTGGATCTTTATTTAAAAAGAAACAGAATGCAATTAAATGTTTGCTTTATTTATGGATTCCTTTTGGTAGAAATTAAAGAATGTTTAGCATCACCTCTTGTGAGCTGGAAGGAATAAAATCTTGATAGTCAGACAAAGGGATTTATTATGCTTGGCAGAGGATGATCAGCCACATCTAGTTTATCTAGTAGCGAGAGCAGAGAGAGCCATAATGAGAGTTAACCATCAGAGTGGAGCGTAAAGCGCAGACCCTGAGCATATCTGCACAAGCACAGCTGGAAGAGCAGAGTTAGTCAGAGTTCAGCATGCAGTACCTGATCATTCTGGGTTATTTTCTCCCCTGCTGCTGCTTCCTGCAGAATGAGCAGCGCTACACGGCGGGGGGATGGCCCGATCAAACCGGACGCAGCAGCACGGCTGATACTGCTTAGAGGATTACAGCACAATGATGCATTTCAAACGTCTGACGGACCAACCGATAATTTTTATTTAGTCTTGTTGACTAAAACTCAAATCTATGACTTGACATGTTTTATTCATCAAAGATCCATGTTTAGCTTTTCGTCATCATCATGAAAAAAAGGAGCATCAGCGAAATACTTTCGTCATTCTCATCGTTGTGTCTTAGAAAACCGAGGAGACGTGTCTAACTTTGAACTGAGACCAAAGAAAAACCAACCAGTTATCTAGATTTATTTGAAGATCAGGCTGCCGTTCCTTTAGGGTGTATATTCAGATGAAGAACTGCTAATGGCTAGATGAAAAATTATGATTTTAAATGATCAATGAATTCCTACCTAATAACAGTCTTTTCCTAACAGCGTAACAATTAACTCCTTAAGTCCCTTTGGTTCCGAACTCAGAGATCCAAACCTGAACAGCTGCAGAACCTTCATGTGAGGAACTAAGCTCTCAATGCATCGATCTATTCAATGTTCTTCCAGTTCATAATTTAAAAGAACAAGATCAAAATTCAGTTCTCGGAGATAAAAATGAACTAGTTCAACTTCATTTGGTAAATGAAGCAACAATCCTCCACAATCCAACCTCATATTTCCCCCTTTAAATGTGTGATCATAATTTATAGAAAGAAATGGAAAATTCTGGATGCAGTCCAGGTTTACTGGATGTGCAGTGAAGCCTTTATTTAGCCGAATGACTCAGAACTTCAGGAACATTCAGGAACTTTCAGGAATATTCAGGTTCTGCTGAAAAGTTCTGGATCCAAATGATTTCTTCCGTTCCTCATTCAGTAGCAGATATTTCCACAGATAGCTTAGATGCTTTAACTCCATGTGAGGCTTTAAAGGTGAAGTGGGCGTGGCTGACATATGGAATTGTTTGTCAAGTCCCGCTGGGAACAGTTTGCACTAAAACGTGAGTTTTTTTCTGTCCCAGTCTTTCTTTGTTAGTCGATCAAACTCTTCCAAGCGCTCTGCTAAACTGGCATCAGAAATCCCAGCAGATGAGTCTGAATGGTGGCTGGCTAACTGAAGTTGTAAGTAACAGGAAGTCTGGGTTCAGATCCCAGCGGGGGGGAATGAGCAGCCAGTGTGGGTCCTTAGGCAAGACCCTTCAGGCTTAAGCCTGCTTTGGGGAGTGGTGTCCTAGTGGTTAGTAACCTGACTCCGCCAGATGGATTTGCTCCGCATAAGGGGCGAAAATACTGGTTAGCTTATTGGCCTATGTTGGTGATAGACGGGCCAAATAAACCAATCAGATCAACGAAGCATATGACGTACTAACAGAGCGACGACGAAAACACAACCACAAGCCAGGCTACTCTTGCCGAAACCAGTCGGGAGAAGAGCAAAAACATCTTTTCCTCTGAGAAAAGCCTCCAGAGCAGTGTTTTGCTCTTCTTTCAGTGAAGAAATACTCTGTAATTCCCATAAAACTTGCTCGATAGCCACGCTAACGCTAGTTTCATCGGCTGAAGCCGCCATGTTCTTTAGACTGAACTGTCGCGCTTCTCGTTGCGTCACACCTCAACCCGCCTCAAAGCCAACGCTGATTGGACGTTCGTTTGGTGAACGGCTCCAAATTTTCTTTAACGGAGAGTCTCCAGACTGATTAGCGAGTGAAACCTTGAAATCTCGCGAGATCAGGATGGTCTCACCAGGCTAGTGGTGAGGGCATTGCCCTTGGAATCCTGAGTTCAAGTCCCACTCCCACAGACTGCCACTCTGGGTCCCTGAACAAGACCCTTAAACCCCACACTGCTCCCCGGGTGGGTTAAATGGCGAGAGTGTATTTCATTGCTCTGTACTGTGACAGTGGACTAACAATAAAAAGAAACCCAGAAACGCTGGACTAGTACTAGCAGTAGACGTGCTGCTCTGTCAGGCTGTTTGCTGTAATAAGTGCCGTAAAACCCGACGTTATCCAATGAAAAGTTTAGTTATCACCTGAACGTCAACATGAGCTGAGCCCGTCGTTTGCCAGCGTTCTATACCCAGCTATTGTAGAGTCCAGTATCTAGATAGTATCTGTCTAAAGCATGGGTGGGCAATTCCAGTTCCTGAGGGCCGGTATCCTGCAACTTTTAGATGTGCCTTTCATTCGACACACCTGTATCAAGTTATTAGATGATTGAGAGGACTCTGCAGGAACTAACTGCATGCTGAGGAGATAACTCAGCCATTTGATTCAGGCGT